TATGAAGGCCTCGGCCTCTGTGCCTTGTTTGCCAGTTTGGTGTAGTGGTTAAGTGTGCAGACTCTAATCCGGGAGAACTGTGTTTGATTCCCCACTCCTCCACGCGCAGCCAGCTGGGTGACCTTGGGTCAGTCACAGTTCTCTCAGAGCTCTCTCAGCTCTACCTACCTCACAGTCTGTGAGGTATCGTTGTGGGGAGGGGAAGGGGAAGGAGATTGTAAGCCGCTCTGAGACTCTGAGTGAAGGGCGGGGTATTAATCCAATCTCCTCCTCCTCCTCCTCTTCTTCCTCCTTTTCCTCTTCCTCCTCTTCTCTGTCCCTAGCCCCTGTACCACGTTGACTCTCACACAACAGAATGCTCCTCCATTTTTTTAAAAAAAACCTGCTTCTAGAAAACTAGCACATCAGGGAGAAGGCTCCTGCTTCTAGACATCTAGTTCTTTGTGTGGGGATAGATCTTAGATCTTTCTAAAATGGGTTCGGTCCCATGTGCTACCATCTGCGGTCTGAAGTAGTATAATCCAGCCACACCGATTTACTATACCTCATCTCCTGTTTCTAGAGTCTAGGCCGCAAGCAACTTGAACGGTAATCACCCATTTAGATTTCAATCTGATTTTTAGCTTTCCCCGTTTTACCTTTGTGCACCCTTTTCCTTTTCTTTTCACCCGACAGGCAGCACCGCGGTTCGATCACCGGCCTGGTCTTCTCCCCAGATGGCAATTCCATGTACAGCGCTTGCAGCCACGGCACCCTGGCTCTCTATAACTGCGCCATCCAGAAGAGTCACATTGTCAGAGTTCTGGGTAAGGCTTTGTGCCTCTGAGGCGATCCTCTCACCTCCTGGGGTGGAGCTTTGTTGGACTAGCCAGGACTGGTCTATCGATGCCTATTAGCCACAGTGGCAGAAGGGAATCTCCACATTCAGAGGCACCAGTCCCCTGAATCCCAGAGCCAGGAGGCAACATCAGGGGAAGGCCCTGTTCTCAGCCCTCCAGAGGAACTGGCTGGCCCCTGTGTGAGACGGGATGCTGGACTAGATGGACCCCTGGTCTGATCCAGCAGGGCTCTTCTGATATTCTTATCAAGGGAAGGCCTCGGCCTCTCTGCCCTGTTGTTGGCACTCCAGAGGAACTGGCTGGCCACTGTGTGAAACGGGATGCTGGACTGGATGGATCCTCACTGGTCTGATCCAGCAGGGCTCTTCTGATGTTCTTCTCAGGGGAAGGCCTCGGCCTCTCTACCCTGTTGTTGGCCCTCCAGAGGAACTGGCTGGCCACTGTGTGAGACGGGATGCTGGACTAGATGGACCCTCACTGGTCTGATCCAGCAGGGCTCTTCTGGTGTTCTTATGAAAGTGGAAGAAAACAGGCCGAGAGGTGGGTGGGTGCTTGACCCAGAGGGTCATGAAATGCAAGAAACCAGGTCTTCTGTTCACATGAAGACACAAATCTGCCTTTGACTGAATCCTACCTTGGTCCATTGAGGCCGGTTTGGGACCCTTACCTCCTCCTCCTCCTCCTGTTCTCTCTCCAACGGTTGGCCCTCCCGGTGTGTCCAGCCAACGTGGTGTCGCAAGACACAGACCACGGTCCCGACGCCTTGTCTGTCAGCGCCAACGGACGCCTCTTGGCCTTTGTGGGACCTTCGAAACACGTCGTGACGCTCATGGACGCCCATTCCCTGGACGAGGTACTTGCCTTCCGCTCTCGTCCCACTGCCGGCATAAGAGATTCAGCGTTGTGTAGTGGTTAGAGCGGGGGGGGGCACTGATCCCTTTCCTGGCACCCGCCAAGTGTGTAAGAAGTGGGTGGGGCCAAGCGGGGCTTTTGCCCAGCAAGGCTTCCGATAGGCCATTGGAGATTTCTTTGGCCGTGCAAAACGTTGTTTTGGCAAACACTGCCACCACAACCCGTTTTTACTGCATGACTGAAGGCAAGCTACAGCAGGCGTTCCGTGGCTGGCTCCGCCTCCTGCAGCAGCCGTTTTGTGGCTGCCCATCACACTGTGTCAGAATTCCAAATTCCCTCTAAGCTGTGGAGCCTTGTGAGCAAAAATTCTACTTTCTGAGCTACTGGCATTAAAGTTGTGAGCGAGCCATTTGGCTACTGCATAAATTAGTTTGCTCTGGAGCCCTCCTTCCTGAGCTAAGACAAAAATGTGTGAGCTGAAGGCTAAAAAGCTGTGAGCTGGCTCACACTAACTCAGCTTAGAGGGAACATTGGTGTCCGCAGGCTCAGAAAGGTTGGGGACCCCTGGGTCAGAGAATCGGACAAAGATCGAGGATACCCAGGTTCAGATCCCCACCGCCACGGGAGCTCGCTGGGCGGCCTGAGGCCGGTCATGCACCTTTCGGCCTGGCCTACCTCACAGGGTTGTTGTGAGGGTGAGATGACAGAGAGAACGGCTTTGGGTCCCTGCTGTGGAGAAAGAAGAAGAAGAGATTGGATTTATACTCCGGCCTTCACTTGGAGTCTCAGAGCGGCTTACAATCTCCTTTCCCTTCCCCTCCCCACAACTGTAAGACAGAAACTCCGTCACGGGTTGTGCTTCCCCAGCCCAATTTGAGAAAGCACTCGGCAGTCTTGTAGAGGAGAGTCAGATCTTGTACTTTATTGATCAACAAAGGAGGGAGGTGCAGATCCAATAAGGTTTTGGACCCCACAGCTCTCCCTAAGGTTACAATGGGAGACATAGGGTTTTATACCCCCTATGACAGTTAGAAATAAATCACAATTGTTGGTTCCATCAAAGTTTGTCACATATCCGTCATATCATTCTGTTTGGGTTCCAACCAGTAGGTTGGGTTTTCCCAGGCAAAAATATACCTCCTTCAGTTGAACAATGGGCTTTCTTCTTCCCATTCTGTGAAATTCTAAAAAGTATCTAATTGTAACAAATATTAGTTCATCATGCAGTGTTCTTCATCTAATGCAAGCAAACTGACATCAGGAGCATGCGCAGTTACCATTGGCAAGAACAAGCAAGGTCACTGTACTATCATTGCTTGTCAGCATTTAGTACTTTACCCATGATGCTTTTGAGCAATGAACCAAAGTGAATATCTGAATATATGTTCGTGATTGATTTCAGTCACTGTGATTAGAATCATCAAAGGCACTTAACATATGCACCGTGGAAGGGTTAAGAGCACCTACTAAGTTAAACTGACTGTTAGCCAGTGGCAGAGTACAAAGTGTTTCATAAGCAGTGTGTACAACACAACTGACACCCTGTGAGGTAGGTGGGGCTGAGAGAGCTCTCTCGAGGACTGCTCTTTCAAGAACTATGGCTTGCCCAAGGTTATCCAGCAGCTGCAAGTGGAGGAGTGGGGATTCAAACCCGATCCTCCCAGATTAGTGTCCGCACACTTAACCACTACACCAAACTGGACATAAACAAAGTAAATAAAGAAGTACTGCAGGACTCCTTGGGGAGATAGGAGATGAACTTACTGGGGAAACTGCGGAAGTTTCTAGCCTTCATGCTTACACAGGGGAAAGCAGGAATTTTTTTATCTCTTTTTAAAACCTCGGAACCCGGGGAAGATTTGGAGTATGGTTTTTCTTAGTGGGGCACCGTCATGCCATATAGATGCCCAGCTGCGCCTGGGTCAGTCACAAGTTCTCTTGGAGCTGTTCTCTCATGGGCTGTTCTCGAGAGAGCTCTCTCAGCCCACCTACCTCACAGGGTGTCTGTTGTGGGGAGGGGAAGGGAAAGGAAAGGAGATTGTAAGCCGCTCTGAGACTCCTTTGGGTAGTGAAGGGCAGGGTATAAAATCCAATCTTCTCTCTCTCAGAAGCATGACGTTGTAAACAAACAGTAAAGGGTTTTATTACATAAGGAGAAGCAGAAGGCACTGAGAACGAGATAATGCATACAGCAAGAGGTAGCATTTACCATCCGGCAATACAAGCCTGGTTCTTACGGAAGTGGAAAACCGGGATCCTTTTGGTTTTCACCAGAGATGTAGACCAGGGCCGCTTTAAATAGAACACTTAGGATTTAACTGTCGCTTTCTGCGTTCAAAGCGCTTCACGTATGCTATCTCATGCTTTTCACCAGCCCTGGAAGGGAGGGGGAATATTTGATCTCACCTAGGGTGACCTGGTGATATTGGGGCCGAGGCGGGATTTGAACTAGGGACCTCTCGGATCACAGCTCGTCTTCATAGCCGCCACGCGAGAGCAGCTCGCCTGCCTCTCCCCTGTATCCAACCCCCCCGATATCATCCTCTTCCGGAGCTTTCCTTATTCCCCGTCAACTTTCTAATGCTAGAAGCACGCCGATGCTTAACAGCTTTCTTCTCCCTCCCCTTCTCCGTGACAGCTACTCAGGATCGACGTCAGCATCCTGGATCTGGAGAGCCCCTCCCTGGATGCGGCCGTGCGGCTCCGATTCGCCCCTTCCTCTCTCGGCCACCTCTTGGTGACCACTTCCTCCCAGAAGATCCTCGTGCTGGACGTAAAGTCCGGACGCCTGATCAGAGTGGTAAGGCGCGTGCGGCGGCGTTTCTCTGCCTAAACGGTAGCTCTTTCTTGTGGTCACTTGTTCCCCCCCTCTCTGTGCCTGGTTCCCTGGTGAAAATCACCAGTGGCTTGGTGACCACTTCCTCCCAGAAGATCCTCGTGCTGGACGTAAAGTCCGGACGCCTGATCAGAGTGGTAAGGCGCGTGTGGCTGTGTTTCTCTGCCTAAATGGTAGCTCTTTCTTGTGGTTACTTGTCCCCCCCCCTCTCTGTGCCTCGTTCCCTGGTGAAAATCACCAGTGGTCACAATATTGTAAAATTCACTAAAAGATTACCAGCTGTCACTTTCTTTTGTACCTTTTTTGGGGGAAAGAGCAGGTAGAGAAAGAGGTACTTTTCTCCCTTTCTCACAATACAAGAACTCGTGGGCACTCCATGAAATTGCTGAGCGGTCGGGTTAGAATGGATAAGAGGAAGTACTTCTTCACCCAAAGAGTGATGAACACATGGAATTCACTGCCACAGGAAGTGGTGGCGGCTACAAGCATGGACGGCTTCAAAAGGGAATTAGATAAGCATATGGAGCAGAGGTCCATCGGTGGCTATTAGCCACAAGGTATAGATAGGGGCTCTGGGGCAAGTGATGCTCTGTCTTCCTGGTGCTTGGGGGGGTCAACAGTGGGATGGCTTCTAATGTTCTGGCCCCACTGGTGGACCTCCTGATGGCACTGGTATTTCTGGCCACTGTGTGACACAGAGTGTTGGACTGGATGGGCCTTTGGCCTGATCCAACTTTGGCATTTCTTATGTTCTTATGTTCTTATGGTCATTTCAAAGCTGCTGGGGTGTGTTTATGACCCTAGCTAGCTATATGGGGTTTCCCCCACACCCGGACAGCTGTGTTCAGTAGACTTGCTCCACTGTGTGATACAGAGTGTTGGACTGGATGGGCCTTTGGCATCTCTTATGTTCTTATGGTCATTTCAAATCTGCTGGGGTGTGTTTATGACCCTAGCTAGCTATATGCCCCACCCCACCCCGGAAAGCTGTGTTCAGTAGACTTGCCAATCTCCAGGTGGGTAATGTAAACAGAAGGACCATGGTGTAATAGTTAAGGTATCAAAACTCCAGCACCGTGTAAAATTATTAACACTATATCCATTTAACTTGAACACATATAAATCGGACTTCAAATATTACACAATCAGATATATCCAGGAACTCACTTTGCATATTAGGCGAGACACCCCTTAATTGTGGCCAATCCTCCAAGAGCTTACAGAGCTCTTCTTACAGGGGCTACTGTAAGCTCTTGGAGGACTGGCTACGTAAGGGGTGTGTCGCCTAATATGCAAAGGAGTTCCTGCTACAAAAAGAGCCCTGGATATATATATTTAACTTCTTATGAATCCAAAGGAATACGTTAGGTGTACAGAACATCAGTCATATAAAAAATAAATCTCGTCCACTATGCTCAACAGGGTTTACACAAACGACGCTGAAGTCTTAAAGAGGGCAAAAATACAAGAACTGCATTGCTTGATAGCTTTATCCGATGAAAATACTTGAAAATTCTCCTTTGTGACCTACTGGCATTAAAGCTGTGAGTGAGCGATTTGGCTCCTGCAGAAATGAGTTTGCTTCGGAGCCATCCTTCCCGGGCTAAGACAAAAATGTGTGAGCCAGAGGCTAAAGAACTGTGAGCTAGCTCACACTAACTCAGCTTAGAGGGAACATTGCCACCGGGGGAGTCTACGAGCGGCGCATGAAGGCGGTCGCTCTCCCGCACTGGTGTTCCCGGCCCTCTCAATAGGTATCGAGAAAGAGACTCCTGTGGACCCGTGTTCTCTGTAAGCTAAGTTACTGTGAATAGTGAGCTAGCTCACACTAACTCAGCTTAGAGGGAACATTCATGCGGCGCATGAAGGCGGTTGCTTTCCCGCACTGGTGTTCCCAGCCCTCTCAATAGGTGTCGAGAAAGAGACTCCTGTAGGACCCGTGTTCTCTCTAAGCTAAGTTAGTGTGAATAATCTCACAGTTTTTTAGCCTCTGGCTCACCCATCTTTGTCTTAGCTCAAGGAGGAGGGCTCCAGAGCAAACTGATTTATACAGCAGCCAAATCCCTCGCTCACAACTTTAACGCCAGTAGCTCACATAGTAGAACTTTTGCTCACAGGACTCCACAGCTTAGAGGGAGCCTTGCTCTGGGCACGGAGGCTCCATTCAGCCATCCTGGCAAACCTTTCCTTTGAAACTATCCAAGCTGCTGGGGGGGGGGGGAACCTCTCTTCCCGTTACGGAATTCACCGCTGCACGGCAGCGACGTCCCTGGCGCCTCCCAGTCCGTGCGAAAGCGGCAGGGCCTTTACGGCGAGGAAAGAAGGCGCATCTGTGACTGGGTTCTCTTTGGTCGTAGGTCTCCTCGGTGCACAAGCAGTCCTGCTCTTCATTGGCCTTGAGTCCAGACTCCCGCTACCTCCTCACCGCCGGCGACAGGGTCGGCCTCCCAGTCCGTGCGAAAGCGGCAGGGCCTTTACGGCGAGGAAAGAAGGCGCATCTGTGACTGGCCGCCGGTTCTCTTTGGTCGCAGGTCTCCCCGGTGCACAAGCAGTCCTGCTCCTCATTGGCCTTGAGTCCGGACTCCCGCTACCTCCTCACCGCCGGGGACAGGGTCATCAAAGTCTGGGATTACGGCATGAGATTCGATGTCAGCTCCCAGGTACGGTACCTGAGAGGAGGGTGGTAATGGCCACCACAAAATGGCCGCTGCAGGGGGCGGAACCAGCCACACGATGGCTGCCACAGCTGAGCTGAGCTCACCCAGTGACGGTCCTTGTGTTGCTGCGGCAGCTGCTGCCAAAGCAACGCTTTTAAAAGTCTGCGCAGCCAATCAAATCCCCCGTGGTTAATCAGCAGCCCCACCAAGTTTCTAAAAACACATGGCAGATGCCATGAAAGGTGTCGGCTGGCACCACGCTGGTCGCAGCTGTCTTAGACTATACTGCTGAAGGCTGAACCACTTCGAGCGTCACTTTGCCCCTGTGGATGCTCCCGTGCTTAAAACGAATGAGGAGGAACCCGCAGGTCTAGTTCTGTCAGCGGGTTCAGACTGGCAGAGTGATTTCCTTGGGGCCTGCTCTGTCCTTGAGAGCCAGTGTGAGAGCCCGTTTGGTGTCGTTGTTAGGAGCGGCAGACTCTAATCTGGGGGAACCGGGTTTGATTCCCCGCTCCTCCACATGCAGCTGCTGGGTGACCTTGAGTCAGTCACATGTTCTTCCAGAGCTGTTCTCTCAAGGGCAGTTCTCAAGAGAGCTCTCTCAGCCCCACCTACCTCACAGGGTGCCTGTTGTGGGCAGGGGAAGGGAAAGGAGATTGTAAGCTGCTCTGAGACTCCGGGTAGTGAAGGGCGGGGTATAAACCCAATCTCCTCTTCTTCTCCTTCCTCCCTCCCTCCCTCCCTGAGCTACTGAGCTCTTAACTAAAATGAAATCCAGAGAGTAACATTTAACTGCAGTTAACCCAAGCTATCCAGGTTCTTCCTTTTAAGGATCTCTTTCTGTCACAAGCGTCTTCCTTCCGAGAGGAGGGGCTCTGCCGCTGGAGAAGAGAAAGATTCTGCTTTTTCGCCCTCTCAGGTGTTCATTGGCCATTCGGAGCCTGTCCGGCAGGTGGGATTCACCCCCGATCAGAGGCAGGTCATCAGTGTGGGCGACGCCATCTTCCTCTGGGACTTCCTCGGGGTGTCTACCAAGGAGCCTTCTAAGGAGGAGTAAGAACCCAACATTCCTTCAAGTTAAAGCCTTTTAATTTGCCTTGGGAACAGTGTCTCGCTTCCCCTGGCAGGAGAAAAGCGCAGAAGTCCAGTAGCATCTTAAAGACCAAGAGAATTTGTGGCAGGGTCAGAGCTTTCATGAGTCACTGCTCACTTCTTCAGCAGTCTCTCCTTCTGAATTGCTACTGATAATGAAGCTCAAGACCATGCATCCTCCTGGACTGAATCGAGACCTAGGCTTCCTATCTCATTACCAGCACTGATTTCTCCATGTCTACTACCCCTCCGCATATCACACCTAATCCAATCATGCTGGCCATTGTCATTCAACTGCTGTTGTCCTTTGCCTGCTGTTGTCATTCGACATCCAAAACCACTCCACTCTCCAAGATATAAGGACAGATGGACTCTTGTTCTAGCTGCATCCGAAGAAGTGAGCCGCAACTCACGAAAGCTCCTCCCCTGCCACATATTTTGTTAGTCTTTAAGGTGCTAAGGTGGAGCTGCGGTGGCTCAAGTGGTGAAGACACTGAACTGCAGGCTGTGGAAGGTCGGTAGTTCAGCAGTTCGAGACCCGAGTGTGCCGCATGACGGAGTGAGCTCCCGTCTCTAGTTCCAGCTCCTGCCAACCTAGCAGTTTGAAAGCAAGAAATTGCAAGTAGATAAATAGGTACCAATTCAGTGGGAAGGGAACAGCGTTCCGTGCGCCTTGGTGTTTAGTCATGCCGGCCACATGACCGCGGAAACGTCTTCGGACAGCGCTGGCTCTTCGGCTTTGAAACGGAGATGAGCACCGCAACCCTAGAGTCGGATTTGACTGGCTTTCGAGCAAGGGAGACCTTTACCTTTAAGGTGCTATTAGACTCTTGCTCTTTTCTGCCACTACAGACAAACGTGGCTGCCATCTTGATCTGTTCCCCTGGCAGGGGTGCACGTTGGGTTCTGGGTTCCCAGCTCTGGGTTGGGAAGTTCCTGATTTGGGGGAAGGGAAGGAGCGCAGTGCAGAAGTTACGCCAATGAGGCCGGTCCCCAAAGCAACCGTTTTCTCCAGGGGAACGGACCTCTGCAGTCCGGAGAGGGGTTGTAATCCCGCAGCTGGAGGTTGGCAACCCGTGTGTCTTTGTGTGTTCACCTCCCTGTCCTCTTAACTCTAGACTCCGCCGCAGTTCCAGAATCCATTCCTCTATCATCGAGACGGTCGGTTTTCCAGGAGTCGGTAAGTTTGCATCTGTTATTTAGATGCCTTGCTTACAAATTCCACATAAGGCATAAAGAAGTTATTAATTCCAGGGCAAATCACGCCAGGGGGCTTAAAGGGATGTTTTACTTCCTCTGACCCCCTCACATGCCGGAGATCGGTATGAAGAAGCCGAGTGCGAGCTGGATTTGAATTTTAGTTCAAACTTTCATGTTTTAAAACAAAGTTTTAAACAAAGTCAAAGAGCAGTTTCTG